TTTAATCGTTTTATCCACTCACAAAGATGTGTAACCCTTTACAAGTAATGAAGTTTGTTTCAATAATTTTGAAGGTCAACGTTCCTAGTTCACAAATCGTTTGCATTATTTGGAAAGGACCGCTGTACACATAATGATCATACACCAATATGTGGTTGATTCATTTGTTTTGAGGCTGGGTATTTCCTAGAATTCTCATTTTTAGTACACCTATGCAAAGGACGGAAGCGTTCGAGGTGTAATGGTGAGTCGGAAAGCAGCTCTAGCACACTGTCGAGCGCTTACAGCCGCCTGCCACTACTCCGAGGGTGACGTAATGGTCTGCGTGGTAGACTGTCGTCGGGAAGCAGGTCTTTGGCATGCTGCTCTATCTGTAAGCTCTTTCTGGCCTATCTGTAGTGTTTCTACGGTTGGCTATGGTAATTCCCGTATGAGTTTTTCTCATCATGCACAGAGTGTTTTCAATGGGATGCATGTTGTGTTCGTACCCTTTAACGTCCTTCAAATGGATCCGGGCTCGTGGATTCGCATGGTGACCAAGTATCGCGGTAATGCGTTGCTTTTTTCCTTAGATAGTTACGCTTTTCGCATTCATTATTTTTTTATTCGTCTCATCACATGCAGCCTCCGTGGCAATTGTCAAAAGTCGTGATCTGCATTGGGCGTTACTGGCAGAACGTGAGCATCCTTACTGCAACCTCTCCTCCCTTCGTGCTTTACTTGTCACTGATGGTCATAACCCTTGTAAGTTAGTTCGTGTTTACACATTTCCATTTCTTTGGCCCCGTCTGAGGAGGCAATCGAATGTTTATCTCTCTAGAATGTACTTTGATCCTCTTACTAAGGTCATTTAGCTCTTTGTCTTTTTTATTTGAGTGCCTACGACCCAATGTTAACGGTTGGCGTTATGGTGCTCAATCTACTTTTGCAACAGTTCTGGATTCACTTGGATTTTTTTGCGATTGATGGTTAATGCATTTTTTACATCATTCCTGAAATAGTCAGCGAGTCATATCGGGCTTGGGAAGAATAGCTCCATCATTGATCTAAAAAGCCAACTCAGTAGGATGCATACGGCTTTATCTTTTCACTAACATATTTGTAACATTTTGTAACAGGGAAGTTTGGTAATTTTAAGCTGTTTGGAACCGTAAATTCAATCCGCTGGAAGATAGCTATGATATTTATTCAGAGGTGAGGAGCGGTGATTTACTAATAGGCGAGTTAAAGTTAGCGTTCTTTGATTTCCTAGCTTTAGTCCTTCAATACCTGGCCCCATTACGCTGGCAATTGCTAGCAGGAATCGAATTTGGATGTCTTCTCAAGACCGATGAAACACCAAACTTTGATTTTTAGCAATTGTCAAAGAAATTTGGAGTGTCTTCTCGGGCTAAGTTTCGTCACCGCTATTGCTGACATTGCAGCATGAGCCATCTGTAATTTGTTTGAGGACTTCAGAACTTGGAATTGAAACCATACAACCTCTTCAGTCAATAAGTTGTCGATTGTCTAATGACTCGAAAGATTCATTTACAAACATCCTTTTACTACAGGGTCTCTCAATTCTTGTGACCTCTTTGCGGCGAAATTCAAGACTCGAGGTCTCAATCCGAATGCCATCTGTCCCATTGCGGGTAGTTCTGAGACCCTCACTCTCTCGTTGCGGCGACCCATTCCGACAAGCAGCACGACAGCACCAAGCACAGGTGGCTTATTCGGCCTTCACTCCAACGGTGCACCTCGCGGTGCTCCGGTCCTTCCAACTACTAATAATGCTAGTCCTCAGCACACCGCTCCCAGCAGTAGTCCTGCTGCAGCTGCCGCCCGTGGAATCATCTCTATTCACGCACTGAGTTATGGTGTTATCCGGGTGGATTCAGAAGATTCATTTACATCTCTGACTCTACAGGATTGCGGTCAGGTTCTTCCTGGAGGTTAGCTACCAACAAAACATTCATGAAGCAGCTTATGTCAACGATTCCATTCTTTTCATGGATCTTTTGTAAACAACCATATTCTGGCAATGCATTTGGTGCCTAAATTCCAAACACTGCTTGAATTCATACCTGATGCATAACTTGTGCTTAGTCATTATTAAGTGGCTCTAAAGCTACATATTTTTGACCCGCTAGCGGCAATGGTGGTGGTGAGTCTGGGTCCCAAGCCAACCGTTTGTCAAACAGACGAAGTGGGTGAGCTTTGTATTGCGGCGGACTACGTTGGAACGGGCTACTGGGGACTGCGGGGTCAGACGGGTTCACATTTCTGTGTCCAACCTATCCATGAGGATGGTCGACCCGTGGTGATAAATACAAACGCTGCTGCTGTACCTGCTACTGCTGGGGCACTGCATATGCAT